ATGATGTTTGTGATTTTTTTAAGAAAATTAGTTTTGGAGTGTTCGGTTGGCGAAAAAAAATAAGGAAATGAATTATAAGAAACCTATTTCCTGTAGTTTCTTGTTTTCTTTTGTTCGGTTCATTCTTAAAAATAAGAAATGAAATGAGATGAGATGAGTTGTCATTGTATTATTGGGTGATGTGAAGAAAGATTAAGAAAAGTGTTTTCATAACTTTTTCGGATGAAAATGAAGAAATAAAATGTTAATGAGATGAGGTGAATTGTTATAATATTTTATTGGATGATGTGAGTGATTTGAAATGATGAGAAGAGTTGAGTTGAGTGATGTTTGGATGAAAATAATATTTTATTAGATGTGATGGATGAGTTGTTAGATGAAAATAATATTTTATTAGATGTGATGGATGAGTGGTTAGATGAAAATCATATTTTATTAGATGATGTAGATGAGTTGTTGGATGGAAATAATATTGTATTGGATGTTGTGGGTGAGTTTTAGGGATGGAAATAGAGGAAATGATGAGTTTTGAAATCTTTTTCTTTTGACTCTAGGAAATCAACCAAACAGCCCTGACGCCTCTCACCAGCAGCTCACGTGCTTGCCTAACTATGTGTCTCTAAAAAAGGTAGCCCACGTTTCAACTCCTAATCGGTTCCCAAGTCTGTACCTCGTACGGCGGCCTTAGTCAATTCTTCGCATTAACTAGATCGTACGGCAGCAGCGCACGAAATTGCTTCCAGACAACAGCTCCTTCTACCCACGTGACCCCCTCGTGCCGCGTTCCGAGATTATTTGCTCCGCAAGATATGCCCTCCCACAATTTACGTCTCTTCCGGTCACCGCGGGTCACCAGACCCGAAAAGCCAGTTCAAATTTTGATCGTTGGTCTCGAACTCAAGCGGCTCCACGACTCTCTTCCGGTCGCGAGACACTGACACGTTGGATGGAGGAAAATTACTTCCTGACACGATGTGGTCCAATTATAATTTCTGACCACTTGAGTAATTCTCATTCTTGTCACATTTCTTAATTATATGTCTTATACGTAATAAAAATTTAAAAGCCCC